CTGCCTCTGGCACCACACCCTCTTCAGCCTCCTCACTGTCTGACGCGAGCGCTGGCTGTGCAGACTGCTGGCATGACATCACACCAGCCTCCTCTTCATTGGGATCATCCACGATGCGTGCAGGCTGCTGGCGGGCCACAACACGCAATGGTTAGAGTGCAGTACTGCAGCTACTTCAGCTGACTGCTAGTTCAGCAGATCAGCAGATCAAATCTCACCGGCTCAAGCTTGACTCAGCCTTCCATCCTTCTGAGGTGGGTAAAATGAGGACCCAGATTGTTGGGGGCAATATGCTACTGCTAATGCAATATGCTAATATGCAATGTTCTATATGCTAACTTTGTAAACCGCTTAGAGTCGGCTGTAAAGCACTATGAAGCGGTATAGAAGTCTAAATAAAAAAAAATTATCAAGATTCACTCATGTACTTGTCACCTTATGACTACACTATTCTATCTGACTCTAATGAGGGTGTTCTTAAAATATTTGGAAGTTGCAAACCGAAGTGGCCCATCTGATAATGAGAGCCATTAACATCATATAACACTTCTACTGTAAGAGTTGCATAGGTGGCCTCTGAGTGAAACATGAAGTTCTGATTGTTACCTATAAAGACCTTTATGGCTTGGAACATGAATATATTTGAGGCTGTCTACTCCAGGTAGAAACTGCTCACCTAATATAATCTAGTAAACAGAACATGCTGTGATCTCTGCCAACTGGGCTTTTGGAAACAAGTATTCTCTATTATGGCTCCTCTTCTTTGGAACAGCTCGTCTCCTGGGGTGAGAATGGTATTCAAGAAAATTGTGTTGGTTATTACCATTTAAGTAGTGGGTGTATTTTGCAGGGATATTGCTTCCGGTAATTAGAGGAGGAGGATGTTGCTATGAATGGTATACCATTAGGCATTTCTTTTCATTTCATCTAGAGGGCATCTGTAATTTTCTTATGTTACTTACTCTATGTTATTGCAATTTGTAAGTTCAATTGCTGAGTTGCAATATTAGACAGCATCATTCTATCAAACACTTTTCCACATCTATGCGAAGCAAGAATGTGTTTTCCACAAAAAAAATGAATGCAAATATTTTCAAGGAAACTGTATTCTATTTAAATTAAGAATATAGTAGTATTGTTAGTAAAAAAAAAGACCTATGTTTATAAAAATCAGGAGATTCCCACATAGGAGAAAATTATCTAATAGATAATTAAATATCTTTTGTGATAGAATAAGCTAGATAGGATATTAAGTTATTGAATGTAGATAACACAGAGAAAATTATTTATTTTAGTCTTATGAATCTTATAGCTACTTAAAATACTTTAAAATATATGATTTGCTACCAAGTACATGTTTTACATCATGTCATGAATAAGTGTGAAAGAACATTGACTATCATTTCAGGATTTTTAAATAATTATTTAAATAATAATTCAGGATATTTAAAACAATATTTTTAAATAATTGTCGATGAAGGCAACAATCTTTTAAAGTGAACTCTATTCACTTAAGCAGAATTTCCCACAGGTATTATTTTGTTATGTTTTATTATTAGGAATCTACACTTGTTCTGTTTTATTAGGAATCTTTCCCTAAGCCTATTCTTTTATTGAAAAAGAGCTAGTTGGTGTAATAGTTAAAAGCACCAAATTAGAAATTAGAAGACTCTGAGTTCAAGTCCTACCTTGAAGTGTGCTGTATGATTTTCGGCCACTCACTCTCTCCCAGCTCTAGGAAGAAGCAGTGAAAAGCCAAAATGTTGCAAGAAAACTGAATAGATTTGTCAAGTCAGTTGTCAGGAACCAAGATGGCCTTGAATATTCACATATACACATATGTAACATAATCATACATTTTAAAAGTCAAGCTGGCAACCTTGAAAAGATGTTCCAGTTTTAGATGCAGCCCTGATACCCATGTAGAGTTTACTTTCTCACTTTTAGATATAAGAGCTTGAAAAGTTGCACAGAAAACTAAGTCAAGTATTTAACTTGAAGCCTTTATTTAATAAACATAGCAGTTTTGTAAACAGCTTTCAAGTACTCCAGCCAGTCCTGTAATTCTTCAACATGAAGAATTTCTAAATATCCTTGTCTCTTTTATTGCCATTTGGCCAAAATAAACAGGAAACCCAGCTGATCACACAGCAGAAAAAAAGGAAACTTCCTAAGAACATACAAAAATAAGGAATATCATGTCTTTGACCTTTCAACTATATACTTTATTGTTCCACCTAAAAAAGCCAAAAGAATATTGGTGACAGTGAGTGAATGACAGGCCATTGAATGTCTTTCTTGTCTTGACTTGGAAGTGGGTGCCGCCTTCTTGGTTTTCCAAGTTTTCACAATTGGTCTGCTAGGGTGTCTCTTAGGATTTGGCAATATAACTTTGAGTTTAGAATTATTTTTTATTATTATTTTTATTAGGATTTTTCAACAGTATTCTGCCTTGAGCAGGGGTTTGGATTAGAAGACCTCCAAGGTCTCTTCCAGCCCTATGATTCTATCTTCTGTATTTTAATACAAGAAACTCTGAACCCTGAAATAAGCGCTTGGCCTTATTTTCAGGGAGGCCTTATTATTTTGGGGCACGTGGAGCAAGACGGGGCTCCTCTTGCCTTCTTACCTGATTTCCAGCTCTGTCTCCCTAACCCTAACCAGAGGAAATGGTGGAGACTGGCTGTGCATGCAAATATTTTCGGGGAGAGCTTATTTTCGAGGAGGGGCTTAATTTAACTCATGCGCTCAAACGCCGATTGGGCTTATTATCAGTCTTATTTTAGGGGAAACAGGGTACCTGTATATAATACACTAGCATTCCAACTCCCTATTTAATTTCTTATCTCAGAGTGGGATTAATGAATGCTACACTGCCAAATTTTACTATTAAACTGAGATGCCTAATGTTTTATAAAATATGGATTTAAAAGATCTCTAAAGAATAGTGCACTCAACTTACATTCATATTACATAATTGCCAATGCAGAGCTATATCACATCAACTAAGGAACATGATATATTATATTTTTCCCCTTAACAACTATTTCTGTGTCTTTTTTTTTCCTGTCTGAAGACAAGGCTTTTTAAAATGCTAACCATAAGAACAATGTGCTTCCATTTTTCCATCTAAGAAAGAAAACAGAACTATATTTTCCACTTTCTACAAATCACCTTTCCTAACAGGGATTAGGCTGAACTCTTCTGGTCCAACAATCTTTGTACTACAAGAGTTAGTCGGATATTTTCCAAAACTTCACCAAAAATTGATGAAAAAATGATAGCCCCCATTTTTTTACCACTTTCTTGGCAGGTAGCATTTAACTCATGCTCCACTGATTTCAGAAGTAGAGAAAAGTATCAGAACTAGTAGCCACTGACAGCCTAATTCTTCATGAATTTTTCCATGTTCTTTTAAACCTATTTAATACTCGATGACAATGAATTCCACAAAATAGGACTAGAACTAATATATCACTTTTTAAGTGATATGTTTTCAACTGTGATATTAATAAATACAGACCTCTTTGCATTGTGCTAACATGCTGAGTAAATGAATCAGAAAGTCCTAAACCTTGCTTCCCCACAGGTCTCCATAGTAGGGGAAAAGTTGAGAAGGTGACAGAATGGGTTAAGATGTTGTAATGCATACTCCATCACTTCTGCACTTGCAAGCGATGCTGCAATTCAAGTACAAATGGGGTAGCTTACAACACTTGTTTTATCATATTGGCATCATCCTGGTTAGGAACAGATGCTTATGTAGCCTGTATCATAAGTTCACTAGATAGCTTTAGGCAAATTATTTCTAAATATGCCCACATGTCAAGCTAATGCAATGTGGTTTATAAAACAATATAGAGGATAATCTGTATATAAACCAAATCACCATGGTTTCCTCAGCAAGCCATTGTTAAAATCATCCATGCTTGACATGATAGGATAAACCAGGTGATCTCGATTTCAAATTCCATTCATATACAATACATTGTAATGGAGAATACAAATCTGACTTAGCAGATAGGCTGTTTTAAGGATTACAGCTAAAAATGAAAATTAATATTCTTAGAAATTACCAGAAAATTCTATAAATCTATAACAGGGCCTACTCAATGCTGTTTTTTTCTAAAAGTACAACGGTTCAAGTAGAACAACCATGAATTAACGGACAAGATTCATTAAATGTGCATTTAAACAAATCATCAAAGAGAACATTAGGGTAAGTGGAATATGATAATTTTGTGCAGATACACAAAATTAAAATATAAAGTCTTTATCCTAGCTTCCCAAATAAAATAATATCTATACAGTCTTGAATTTAGGTGTGAATATAAGTCTATATAATTCAGTTTTTAAATACCATTAATTAATATTATTCAGTTTTTAAATGAAGATTAGATGTACTGTCATCCACTAAACCAGAGGTCTTCAAACTTGGCAGCTTTAAGACTTGTGGACTTTAACTCCCAGAATTCTCCAGCCAGCTATGCTATGAAGCTCCAGCTATGCTGGCTGAAGAATTCTGGGAGTTGAAATCCACAAGTCTTAAAGCTGCCAAGTTTCAAGACCTCTGCACTAAATTGTCAATTTAAAGACTCCTCATTAGCACTTTAAACCAAATTAACTATTTCTAAATCAGGCGTGTCCAACCCACAACCCACAAGCCACATGTGGACCCGGACAGTAATGCAGCCCCACAAGATCATAAATTTTTGACATTTTCAACGTACAGTTTAACTTCTGAAGAACAATTAAATACTGTAAAGTTCCAATCAAATATATGTAAATTGGGTCTTATTTAGTACAAAGTTCTACCATCATTTTAAAAATGTATCACTTTTCAAGAAAAATCATTTTTAAAGAAAAATCATCATCATCATCATAAAGTTGTAAAACTTTCAATAACAGGGTCTGATAGCATATGGGGTTTTTCATGTACAGCGGAGAATCAAGACAAATGTATTTCCTTTAAATCAAGAATATTAATTAACAGTATTTACCTGATTAAAGGTTTTGAATACGAATTCTCTGAATATAGCATCTCTTTCAGTGAGCTCAGACCAGCCAGCAGCTTTAAGATCATATAAAGCTTGGTTCCTTTCTTCGGTGCTCAACCAGCTAGATTGTGAAGACTATGATGGCAAAGAAAGAGGAAAAAGGCACCATAAATCTACGCTAAACATACAGATGCTTATTAGATTAAAAAGACCACATTGCATTAATTATTTGCAAACATACTGGTTGTGTCTTCACAAATAGAATTGTATAGGTTGATTCTGCTCCTTCCCTTTAAAAAATCATATCTGAATTAATTATATTTAGAATATGAAGTTAAGTAGCATCTAAATTAAAAGATCTTAGGCAGCATCTTAGGTAGAAAACAAACAACATTGATACTTGCATCTGAGTAAACATGGTACATGATAACTTTGCACTGTCCTAGGGTAGAGGAGATGGGAGCAGATGCTGCTCTTTAAAATTAGCAAACATAATCCACTACAATTGAAAATACTTTTATATTATGTCCAACAGAAGAGAAGCATACTCTTAAGAATCTCCCAATAACAAATAAAAATATCTTCAGTTTTACTACCAATAAGTGACTTTTAATCACTCGAATATAGTTTTATTTTTATATATGCCTAACACTGGAAATTAACTTCATGATCTTTTAATCCATTTAGTGGATCAACATAGAATTTTTGGACATATTAAGGATATAAAAATATTGTTACCTACATTTTCATCGACAAAAGCTACTTCATCTCAGTCCAATGCTAAACATACTATTCTTTTATAAGGTTTAATCTCTCGGATCTTTTAACCATGGGCTCCTTCTCCTAATTTATTTACTAAATTTATATGCCGCCCATCTTGCTATGCAAAGCAACTCTGGGAAGGATAATATTAAACACTGTTGAATTTAGAGCAATACTAATCTAACTACATTTAATCATTTTAATTTGAAAGTCTTATTTTTCAAAAGTACATTTTCTGGACCAGCAAGGAAAAACAAAGAGGAACTAAAGCATTACTTTTGCAGAGGCCCTAAATACTACTTAGACTATGTTTGTTAATCTTTTTGCCTTAATTAAATATGAGTTTTAAAAGAAAACCTCAATTGACAGAATTCTCAGCTATTCAGGATGCTCAATGAACATCTGAGAAGCAAAATTATTATGTACCATTACTTGGCAAAATATGTTGAAACATTGATTTAATTGAGAAATGCTGGATGAAATTTAGTGGTAGCTAGGCTGTTTTATGTCCCTTTATTCTCATATCACTGTAATACCGAAATATAAGCAATTACCAATATAAAGTCAAATGCAGGGGAAATGCCTGCCCTTACATAAACCATCAGCAGTATCAATGGGAAACTGAAAGGCATATTGAGACAGACCTCTGAAATTTGCAAAACTAATTTTTTTAGAAAAAAAAAATCCCCTAAGGAAGGAGATCTCCCAAAGTCCCTTAAGGACTCTGTATTACAAAAGTTTGAAACTCTGAGAGAGATAATTCTGGAAAAAGAACAAAGAGATTAACTAACTAGAAAGGAAGAATAGGTTGGTAAAAAGTTAAAAAGAGAATGTTGTCTGGAGAGGTGATTACTTGGTTCAGGTTATTTTGCTATGGTTCCAGTGGGACAAAAGTAAAAGATATTTTTGGAATGAGAAAACCACTTTACACATAATGCAGCATACTCTGCTCTGATAAACACATACCTTTGTATTATATTTTAGGTAAGCAAAAACTTTTAAAATCTGGCTGACTGTTTCATCTATATTATATGGATGGTTTTTATATCATCTGCATGATAGAAGCAGATTTACAAATATTTCTCTCTTGGCAGTTTACCACATTCTGGAATATCCAATCTCTGCAGCTTGACACCACCTGCTGACTGTAACTCTCCAATTGTAAAGCATAGTAATACAGCATAAAATCTAAAGTACTATGTTTCTTTGGCATGTTTTTAAAATCAAGTTTTCTCTACCCCTTCTCTAGCTATTGTAGGCGAATCCACATAGGCATCTGGTTTCCGATTGGACAGACTGCCCATCATCCTGCTTTATTTCTCATTTTTCTCCTAATCCAGTATGGAGATATCGATAAATTTAACCAGATGCAATGAACAATGAATTTACAATATAAACTGCCAAAGTTTTGTTCAACAGTACTAAGAATTCCACAAAACTGGTCCAAGCACTCTCTTTACACTCCCTTCACATCTTTTAATAAGTAATCTTTTACTGTATCAATGCAGAGGGTGAAACAAACAACATGTTAAAAAGGTATGATATTTATGTCGTTACTTACCAAGCAGATCTAAATTATATTAAAGTAACCAAAATATCTTTACAATCCCCAAAGAATGTCACAACTTTTGAGCAGACCTAATTTTCGAAATTGAAAGTTGGAAAATTTGACACACCCTAGTTATATTCTTCATTAACAAGAACAACGATGATCACAATCCCATACACTTATCCAAATCCTTACATCTGGATGAGCCACAAGACATATTTATTGAAGTTAGAATGATGAACAAAGTTTGTGCTTTTTAGGTGGCATTCCAATATAATGCCCCTGCATATTTCTATATAATCGTAGATTTTCTGTTTTCCAGAAACTAAAACAGCAGATGTTGTGGTCTAAGTGTGAAAACTATGAATGTTGCCAACACATAAAATTTGAAAGAAAATATAGGCAGGTTGAACTGCCATTTTTTTCTCAGCTACTAGATAGCGGGAACGGAGTGATGCCTGAAAGCATTCTTGGTACGTCCTTGGCAAAAAAAATGGCAGTTATTTGCAAAGAACAATTTATTGGCAAAAAGAATATTAAGTATCCTTGCCAGTCATGCAGAATAAAAACAATGATTATGAAGACATGCATATCTTGAGAGATGCTTTGCACATGGGGTGGAATTATGGAGTAGCAGAATTCACAGTCTGCAACTCAACAGAGAGGGCCTGCTGGAGTTTACTTCTGAGCGGAAGGAAATAAAACTGTAATGTTAGAAACCAATAGAAACCAAGAAAAAACAAATCTAAGTTCCTAAATTACAGAAGAAAATTTTATTCTGAACTGGCTTTTGAAGTCAAACTAAACATTTGGGGGGGGGGGGGGGAAGGATTAGGTTGTTTAATGTAGTTAAAAATAAAATAATAAAACAAACTAGAATTCATATTCAGATGAATTTAAAAATGATTTAAGAAAAATGCCTGGAGTACTTTGATTTAATATGTATTCTTATTTGTTTTTAACATTTCATTTTACATAATTCACTACCTTCTATTTCTACAGTTTATAAAAACACTAAACTTCCCATCAGTCAATTTCCTCAAAGGAAAAAACTAACAGCACTACTTCAGGACAATCTGGCATTCAAACAAATTAAACATTTCAAATAAATCAATTAAACATCACAAATCTCTGAAATTCAATTGAAACTTCAGATATACATGTAAAGTGGACAATTTTTGAAACTCCAGACCTATGAATTTGAATAATTACATTTGTTATACACAAAGAGCATTTTGTCCACTAGGTGACACTATATTTCAAATTTACTACTTATTCAAGGTGAGGTACAATTTAAACTTTCTAAACAAGAAATAATAGAGATGTTAAATTATATAGGCAAAAATTAGGAATAATCATGTGGTAAACAGTATAACAAAAAAGAAAGCAGCAGTTAACATAATTATATATCAAGTAAATTCTTTATTTATCTTTACTGAAAAGACATTTATATAATTAATAATATTTTACTGATTATGTAATGTCAATATCCCACATTCATATTTGCAATTATTATTTACTGATCAATAGAAAGCTTCATATTATGTTTGAAAAATTAAAATATTCAATTGTTTTTACATGAGTAAAATATTATAGGTGCCTGAGAGGCAGCCTGGGAAGCCTAGCCCAGGCCCCAGGCCTCCCAAAGCCTCCCTACCTTGATGCACCTCATGCTCCATTTCCTGCCTCTCTGAGACCCTGCAGGCCTTGCGCCTGCTTCCCATCCCACAGAGCCCCATATCCATCTTCTCTCTTTTCAAAAGCTCTGGAGCTCAATCAGAGAAAGTGGACAGGGTACTCCTTGCTGAGTTGGGTAGCACAATCCGGAAGCAGCCACACTGAATTGTGGCCACTAGGAAAATGGCATGTTTCCCAAATGCTTCCCTAACATGAACTACTTTCCTCCAGAAATTGTGAATGCTCCAGCACTGGGAGTTTTTAAGAAGAGATTATACAACCATTTGTCTGAAATGGTATAGGGTTTCTTGCCTAAGCAGGGGGTTGGACTAGAAGACCTCCAAGGTACCTTCCAACTCTTGTTATTCTCTTCTATGAACATTCTGCAGCACTGTGGAATGCTGTGAAGCTTCATTAGCATTCATCAGAACAAACAAGTTGTTCTGCAGCTTGTCCCTTTTCCTTAACTCCAACTCTTAGAAAAGTGAGGAGGAGGAAGTGGAGCCCAGTGAGGGGAGGTAAGCGGTCGGTCATAAGGGGACTCCGCAGCAGCCATAACTTCAGGATCAGATTCTAAGCAACTTTTGAGGGAGGGAGGGAGTCTGCCATAACTCCAAATGTTCACTAAGCAACCAATAAGTAGAGAACTATCTGTGGTCCATGTTTTTCCTGCATATAAATAATATCACACATTATCACTTTCAATAAAGGGTTTTATAATAAAGACAAAATAATGATAATAAATTGTTAAGAATGTAGAGATAATTTGGAAAGGAAGATATGGCCATTATCTCTTTTTAATTTTTTCAGACATATTGTCTGCATGCCATTTAATATTAACTACTAATTCTACATGAGTAACCGATAATGGAGATAGAATCGATTGGCCCATGGAGCTGTTTTATTTTTCTTGGATGACTTCAAATGTCTACTTTTATTTACTTACCATCTTTAACCAGTTATGTGGTAGGATGCAATCACAGATCATGGGTCATATATGGCTTTTTGTTAATGGTTGACATTTCAATGTCCACTCACCATTCCTTTTTTATGTTGTACAATTCCCATTTCCTCTTTAGCAGTTCTTTCCTGGAAAACCATGTCAAACTGTTTTGGGTCTATGGTTATTTGAAATTTTTCTCCTATATATATTTTTAGAAGTCATTAATAAAATATATTTTGCAAAATGTGAATTAAGAAAGCAGTATTTCCTTTTTAAGAATAATCTGGTATATGATATAGAGCAAATTCAGGTTTTGACAGTTTGAAATATGTAACTCAGTTTAACAGATCAAATAACCCATGAGTCTTATTAGAGTTCAGAACCACCAATTGCAAACTTTAGATTCACATTCTGAGAATATATCTAAGAACATGTATTAGAGATTCTTGGTTTTGTATGTTAGCTATTATGTACTATTATTAATAGCTTCCTACATTGTCATTACTTCGATGTCTGCTGTTCAATGCATGCCTGAACTTCATTCTTAAATTTCAACACTAATGCTCTGCTTGTTTGCCAGCTGAGTACACATAGGCTTGCAATCTGTTCCTGAATTCAAGGTTACTTAAAGTAACTATTGGGCCATTAATACACAAAGTGTCATATCGCAACCACCATTTCTATTCAGCTGTTTGGAAAACGAGCTGTGAGCATTCCAGTTAAAGTTCATCACATTACTTGATGCATATTCCTCTCAGGATGTCTGATGAGACAATTACCTAAGGTGTGGGTGTCTAAAATAGACAAGGAACAATATACTGAAAGAACAAAAAAAATCACCTTGATTACATTAACCATATAATAATTTAGATGAATAAGCAAATTATATGGCCACATGTGAGAAGACTCCATCCATCTAACACAGAGACCCCCAACCTTTTGGGCACCAGGGACCAGTTTCGTGGAGACAGATTTTTCCACAGACCAGAGGGGCATGGTTTCGTGTGCTGCCTGCATCCCACAAATGGGGCTCTGCTTGTTTGCGCAGTCCGGTTTCTGGCCCGGTGCCGAGCCACAGACCGGGGTTGGGAACCCCAATCTAACAGACAGACTCTTAAAGATGTGATTCATAAGAATGTAGACATATAAAGGTTACTTTTAAATAATTTTATTTGGAAATATATTCCATTTTTTTAGCACATACTAGATTGCAAATTGTGTGCATTGCCAGAGATGCTTACTTGAGAATTAGCTGAGTAGGATTTCATTTTGTATAAACAAGCACTAGATCACTATGTAAAAAAATTCTCATTAGTTTCCCAAAGTAGAACAAATTTACACTTGCCTAATCTGTTACTATGCATAACTTGCCATAATAAGCAAAGCAATTGGTAGTCACTTGATTGTAGAAAAACTGACCCATCATAGATGAGAAGCCACAGATACAGGTAATAGTATCTGTAGCACTAGTCCACTGTTTAGTACAAGCCTTTATTAACCAATGTACAAAATCCATAAGGAAAAAAGAATCAATGTGGCATTTAAAAGAGTTTTTTTTTTAATCATAATTTTCTCTGGACTATTTTCCACAAAAATATTCTTAATAAAGGTGTTCATTTAAGATGCTCCAATATATTTTGCTGCAACAAATGATTATCCCTATGAAAGCTGTTGCAAGATCAAAGAACTATTGTCCAAGCAGAGAAATATTGGGAGCCATGCAACAGCACAAAGACTTTGTGAAGATAGTATTTTTGCCCTGCCTTTTTTATAGGTAACTGGTGAACATACCTAAATTATTAATATTATGTATTAAATTTGTACACTGCTGGCTCCCCGACGACTCTGCATCGTTTCACCCGGAGGCCCAGGAGCAGAACCTGAAAGCCGATCTAAGAATTAAGCTGGTAGGATAATTCTTAAGGGCAACTGAGCTACCTACTTCCTGTATTTAGATGTAGGATCCTCCTGCCCCGAATCTGAAGCAGCCCCAGCCAGATCCAGGTTTAATGCAAAAGGACTTCCCCAAGGGAAAAAGCCCCAATTGCAAAGCCCCAATTGCAAACTTGATCTTCGAATTACACGTGCGAGGAACATTTAACTTTCCCTTTGAACCTCTCTCCCTTGCAAAAAAAAAAAAAGCCCAGAGGTCCAAATATGGATTTCCAGGTCAGCCTTCCCTAAACCATCCTTGTAAAAGCTTAAAACCGCAATTAAGAGCTTCAAAAAAAAAAAAAAAACCCCAAACCAATATGAGTAAAGATTACCGGGCCACATTTTTTACGCGGACGATCCCGATTCCCCACCCTCCCGCCGCCCGCCCCCATCTGTCAAATCGTTCGGAGGGCGATTTTTCTCCTTTGCTGCTCAGCCGCTCACCATAGCTGAGAAGTTGCTCCAGCCGCCACCGCAGCCCCGGCCTCCCACAGCCACTAGGCCCCCTCGCAGCAGCTGCAGCAGCCGCCCCAACCCTGTCCCGCGGGGTATCAGCATGGTTCAGGCGGGCATCTCCGCCCCCTCCATCCGGCGCCTGCGCCGCGGCCGCCCCAAAGTGTTTGGCGGCCGCCAGGGGGAGCCTCTCGTCGCGATTCCGCGCCAGTGCTCCCTGACCTGCGCAGCCTTTTTTGCTGGGAGGCGCAAGCTGATTCTCCCAGGCTGGGCTCCGAAAGTGTAGCTTGGGTTCATCAGATCAAGGGCTCCGGCCTTTGGGTATTCTCAGTTGGTAGAGGTTGAAAAGCGCCTGCATCTCTTTGGGTCTTTACACTAATTCGGGTGAGGGATCAGAGTTGGCACCTTCCCCAGCCATTTGTCACTCCAGGCGGCAGCAGCTACAGGTGGCGCTTTTACTGAACTTGCAAGGAAAGTTCATAGAAAAGGATGGGAAGTTGTATTGTCTGAGGCAAGGAAAATATAATTTATCTAGTACTCTACTGTTTGTACTAAATGCTGCTGAGTTAAGAAACACAGTATTCTCCAGGAGAGCAAGGAGACAGTAACCACTTTTACAAGCTACATTCTGTCAGCTCATGATCATGAGTAAACAGCAGTTCAGTTGTTAAATGTAAGAGGACAATAAAATATGACTATCATCTCTTCCAGATCTTGATTCACTTTTGATTCTGTTTTCTATGTCTTGTGTGCATTTGTGGTATTTTATATTGGTCTCTTATGCTGGCTTTCCAATGAAGCTTTTAAAAGTTGAAATATTCTACCATGAATGGATTTATTATGATATAACAGCTCTAAAGATCCAGCTGTATTTAATATAGCCACAATGCCATATCACAATGCCATATCACAACCCATGTGATAGGTTATTCTTTTAATTTCTGTTGACTCAAATTCTTACAAACACCAAAACAAAAAAAAATACCATTAAAAAGGCAGCATCCATGAAATTATACATACATTTACACCCATACTTAAGTATCACAGTATTGTGCATGAAATTATATTTCTTCTTTCCAACCTACTGCGACATTGTTTTATGTCCTTTTAAAATACTAAACTATGTCTGTTTCCAGTATAAATGACATGAAGATTAGGATTCATTAAGATTAAATGTTTTCTTAATTCTAACCACTTTCATCAAATACTGTGATCAAAGCACAAATGTGAAGGTGTCCGTAACTTATACATTTATCAAATTTCATTCAATTTTCAAAAAGTGTACCTCATTAAAGCTAAGGAGAAATTGTTTCTAAACCCAATTAACGCTTAAATCTATTATTTTCATTCTACAATCTTACACGCCTGCGATTATTTTCAAGGTTTGTAAGAATTTATACAATAGGAAGCAGAGATGTTCACTCTATCAAAATTATCAGCACACACACACACACACATATATAATTTTTCCATTAAAAATGAATTCTGCAGAGTATAGATTCTATAGGGTAAAGCTGTCCCATCACCATTTAATTATCCAACTACAGTGTTCATTGTTGTACGTTCAGAAATTTCTTCTGAATGATAATGTACCATTTTAAATATGCAATAAACATAACAGGCCTCGAGTTTACAAGACATTGAGGGATTCACAAGTTTATCAACTTATTCTGAAAGCAGACAGTACTCAAATCACATATCACTCCTGATGCTCCTGATCGTGTCCAGGTATTAACCAACGGATGCTCTCTGTCCGAATAGTAGCATACATGATGAAACTGATAAGAAACAATAAAGAAAACAAAAGGAGCCAATCTATTCCTTTACTCTGTGTGCTAGGCAGGGGACCAACGTGATCTTCCATGCTCACCATCACATCAGATTTAGGTTGTATACCTGAAATGAAATATCAAATTATTACTTTGATGCAAGATGAAACATCGTAAATCATACTTAGCTATTTGCATGTATAAACTTCAATTTTCTAGTTTGAAAATAGCATACTGGTTATCATCCGCTAAGACTTTTACTATACTTTTAAATTTATTCACTGAAGTAAAAATATATTTCCAGTAAACTATTAATGTTGCGTATTTGATTCTTTGTGGGCTGCTCTATCTGCATTTCATTTGTTAAGAACTCTTGCAGCCTGTTTTATCTCTTCATATTACCAGGGGAAGGTGACAGAAAATAAACAGGAAAACATTATAGTCTAAAAACGTATCACTTAAGGGAATAGTGCCGTGATTTTGTCTCTCGTTCAAGAGGCAGTGAAAAAAAATATTTTGTTTATTTAAAACATTCATACAGCTGCCCATCTTTCAACCAACTCCTGATCAAAAATACTGCTTCTTTTGGTAAGTTTATTTCTACCTTACCTTTCCCAATTATTTGCTACAGCATGTAGAGATAGAACTTGATTTACTTTCTATTGTGGATAAAGGAAAGCTGAGAAAACCTGGTTTCTTTTCTTGTTAACATGAACAGAAATATTTACAGCAAAAAAATACCTTTCTTACATTCACTCTCAGTTCTCAAATATGAAAACCCAAAATAATGCAAAGAATAATAAACAATAACTCCTGCTGTCACAGAGAAACTGGAATATATGTACATAACCAATATTAACATTGACTTTGATGCCAAGGTATGATTATATTATCCATAGAAGGCTACTGAGAAGCAAATGACAGGTTGTCAAGATCCTCAGCAGAACCAAAATCACCAGAAGTAGAATATTATTTATCTAACTAGGACTGCACCCTTATTTTGTATTCATCCAAAATCTTAGGTTTTGATCAACCATAAAACTGCTTCCCAGTACCTTCCTAACTGGAGACAAAACAATAATGTTCCTGGAAATAATAAGTATTTACTAGAGTTAGACAGGGCTATATCAGGCTATGAATTCTCCCAATTCATACTTCATCTTACCGGTCTGATTAAAAATAAATGCTTTCAGTGTTTCCAGAGTTCTATCTGTATGGTTAAATCTTGCCATTGGTTTAGCACCTTGAAAAAGGAGGATGTTAGGAACAGCCACAGTTCCAAACCGAGTTGATAAACTGCAAAGAATAAAGTAGAAGAATCAATTTTGCTAAACAAATTTCTCATTTAAATTTATAAAAACTAGCTCTCTGTTATACTAGAATCACCATGTAAAACAAAAACAAAAAAATTGAAAGTCCTGGAATAGGGAGCATGGATGGTCAGAAAGCATTTTCTGCCCTTATGTGTCATTATTACTTTATTACATTACCTAATTATTATTGTAAACTAACGTTTCAAATGTATAAATTAAATTTAACAATTATCATTCAGAAAAGAATAAAATTTACCTGCTATGTTGGGAGGCATCCAAGGCCAAAAAATGTAGTGTTGGGAACACTCGTGGCAGACAATTAAAATGAGGAGCCAAATTGGCAGAAAAACGACACCAAGGGGTATAAAATAAGACTAAGGTGCAGTCACTGCCATTTGGATTTAAAAATTCCATTAAATCCTAAAATAGAGAATAAAAGATTAATTTTAAAAAGCAGTGCTACTCAGAAAAGCAATGAAGTACCTCTACATCACGGGTGTCAAACCTGATCGCGTCATGGGCCGGATTGTGATGTATGTGACATTTTTGCCTTTGCGGAGCCAGGGTGGGTGTAGCCTACACGTGACATATCTGGCCCGTGGGCCACCAGTCTGACAGGCCTGCTCTACATGAAAGTTCTAACTAGCCGTTCTATTATAAAACATGTTTCAAACTTAAACAATAACCATAGTATGAATTATGATTACATGCCATTAAGTCATTGTCAACTTTTAGTGACCACATAGATTTTGAGAGCTTTAATATCCTAATTTCAAAAGTAAATATGCATACTGGCCAGTTAGTTTATTAAATATTTTAAATATAAGTTATTAAATAGTTTCCTGCAAAAACAAAGACACAATCAACCCCATAAAATCCTGTGATAGTTTGATTTTGACAATAGCTTTCAAGAGTAAACACATATCAGGAAATCTACATTCCTTAAATCCAAATAATGGAATGTAAGTGTGATGTATCAAATTAAACACTATCGAAATCCAGTAATGTCACACTGAAGGCAACAAAATGCCTTTGGAATAGCAATCAATGTGCAGAACTACATTGCTTCCAATATTGCAGATAACATTCACTTGTTTTGATACCTCGATTAAGCATTCTATGAAATAAATACTATCCTACATAGACATTTTTCTTCGTAACAATTTTAGGAACAATGCATTCCTAGAAGATTAAAGTTGGCATCAGTTGAAATACCAGACTTCAGATTTGATAGCAAAAAGTTCATAAAAAAACAAAATAGAATCCATCGTCTTTATTTTCAGAATCAAGGTTTCTCAACCTTGGCCACTTTAAGATGTGTGGACTTCACCTCTAGAATTCCCCAGCCAGGAATGGGGAATTCTGGATGTTGAAGTCCACACATCTTAAACGTGCCAAGGTTAAGGAACATAGCTATAGTCCTATCTAAGCCCTACTTTAGCTGCACCTAAGCAAGACCAATGTTGTCAGCCCAAATTGCCAATTTTTAGCTTAAGGAGAAATACATCAGAATACTTATCACTTACTTGGGAAATATTCAAAATCTGTAATGTGAAATTTGTAATTCCTGTAACGTTTCTTTCTTCACAGTTCACTTTTGGGGTTTTCATACCATCTGTGTTATTTGAGTCCTCTGCTGATGAAGGATGCACTGCTTCCAGCACTACTGCTGGATGTACTATTGGCTCTTGTGCATGAGACACTTCCTGAGCTACAGATGCCATGTTCTTCGTACGGCATTCACCATCTGCTGATGCATCGCAAGTACCAGTGTCTGCTTCAGAGAGATGTGTCTCCTTTGTGTCACTTGGAATAACCGACAATACAACATGATGGTCCGCAAGAAGGCTACCACTCATCATAGCATCAGCAATTTCTGCAGTCCTATACTGTACCGATTCTCTGTGTCCATCGCTGCTTGAATGGGCAGAAGTGCTTTCTGGATTTACTGGTAGGGAAGTTTCACTTAGCTCTTCTGATAGCAGGTCAGAAGTTTCGTCTGTTTCTGCTGCAAAATACACATACATACAGGTGTGAAATACACATCATTTACAATTTCCTGCAGCATAAACACACATCCTTAAGCAGCAGAACCACACATCAATTTGCTCAAAGTGAGAATCCAGTCATAACTATAATTAACTTATTAATCCTTAATGATTAAAGCTTTCCATTTTGTGCCCATCTCTGCTAAATGCATGATTCAACAGCATTTAAAGAGAGCAAGAGGAGTCTGATTAGACACTTTCACCTTGCCTTTACTCTCTTTAACATCAGATATGAAAACAGCCTTTATTTCAGGAGAGAGAACAATGCAACCTGAAAAACCACTGAAACGCAGAGTGAGGGGAAATACATTTTTGCTATCTGGTTCACCCCACCCGCCTCCTACTTCGGAGAGACGCAGAGGAAGGGACTCCTTTGCCTCTTTCCCCACCCACGGGGGGGAAAAAACCCCCAGGAAAGCCACGACACGCGTTCAACCAAACAGGCCGTCGGGACGACAAGGTACGTCTAAAAGGCAGCTCTTCCTCCAGGCTATTCGCTCCTTTCCCCCCCCCCCACACCACCACTCAGTATTGCCATGGCAACTGAACCCTCCTCACCTGCCGCAAGGAAGGCGAGTAGCCAGACCACCCCGAGGTGCCGCCCCCACCCGCGCGAGGCCAAGAGCATCCTCCTCGCAAGGGAGGGGGGCCGGCCGCTCTCCCCCCCGCCAAGAAAAACAAACACCGGTAAAGCACCCGGCAAAAGGGACCTAGCCACTAAACGAGAGCTTCCGGTTACACTTCCGCTTCCGGTTTTGCACCGCCAACGAAAGCCTGCGTGAAAGTTCTTCTTTTGTCCGCAACCCGGATACGGTAGCCGCGGAGGAAGCAAAGGTGGAATTCTGTGCCGTTGTCTCCGCGATGTTTTGGGAGCTCGTGCGCTTCCCCTCCCCGAAGGAATTTTAATAAAAATTAACATCCACTTATTTTCCTCGTGAAAAACACTTCTTTTCCCAATTAATCTTATAATTGCTATGGCTCTATATTATAAACCCTGCAGTCAGTGAATCTAGTTCCTTATTTTCATTCTGCGGGATGTGGGGACAGAAATGTGATCTAAGGGCCCGCCTTGTGTTGATCTTTGCCCTTGCATCTTTCAATCAATCAATCAATCGGAATAGAGCTGGGAGGGACCTTGGAGGTCTTCTAATCCACCCCTCTGCTCAAGCAGGAGACCCTATACAATTTGAGACAAGTGGCTGTCCAGTCTCTTCTTAAAAATCTTTTATCAAAAGGATATTGTAATACTGAAGAGCGCTAGGGTTAGATCACACAATATTTTTTCTTAGGAATATAAAAATCAACATAGATAGATATCAAAGTTGACCAGTTGTTGGCTTGTTTGTTTAAATCCCACTTGTCCCAAGCAAAAATTAACAAAAACACAACTTTCTTTCACTTACCGGTGATTCGGTTTCAAATCAATTTCAAACCTCTTGTTGTCAGGATACAACATATGTACAATGAGATTGGCTGAGCCTCCCTTCGTGCACCCCCCCCAACCCAATACAACTCACAGTGAAAGTTTCTTGCCGCTCATAGAGAGAACTCTTTTTAGAGATAACTTTCAAGAATGGTAAAGAAGTCCAGCTGTGATCACATTATATAAATCTGGCGGTGGTTGCTACAGGTTGCCACACATTCATTCATTCATTCATTTATTTATTTACATACACATACCATCAACTCTCCAAATGAATAAAAATTTTAAAATGGGCCTGCCCCTGAGATGCACTCGGAGACTCCAGCTGATCCAGAATGCAGCTGCACGGGTTGTTATGGGAGCCCCTCGTTACTCCCATATAACACCCCTCCTGCGTGAGCTGCACTGGTTACCAGTGGTTCTCCAGGTCCGCTTCAAGGTGCTAGTCCTCACCTATAAAGCCCTTCATGACTTAGGTCCAGGATATTTGCATGACCTTCTGCCTGCCTCTCACCGTCCTGTTCGCTCACATAGAGCCGCTCTCCTCAGGGTTCCGACGGCGAGCCAATGTCACCTTGCTATGCCCAGGGGTAGGGCGTTCTCTGTGGGTGCTCCCACCCTCTGGAATGAATTACCTACTGAGCTCCGGACGACTCCTGATCTCCGCTCCTTCCGTCGGGACTTGAACACTTGGCTTTTCAAACAAATAGGCTGAGACTGATTCCAGGCTTTATTATTTACTACTAATTAATTATTTGGATTAAATTATGATTTTATTGTACTTGTTTCTTAACTTGTGTTCGCCGCCCTGAGTCCTTCGGGAGAATGGCGGCATATAAATACATGTAATAAATAAATAAATAAATAAAATAATGAGCATAAAACTTTGAATATTTTCAAAAATTAATCCCACATCACTCTGCAACCCTATAAACTGCAGATGGCGTCACTGCTCAGTTAGTACGTCATAGAATAATTTGCTCATACACCAAAGTTGTTGTTTTACCCAAAAAAAGAAAGAAAGAAAAGAAAATGCATTTGGAAATAGTATCTTATACTGAGTTTGTAGAAATAGTAGTTCTCAACATATAAATCATTCAGCAACAGTTCAAAGTTATAATAGCACTGAAATAAGTGACTTACAATCGATGCTTGTACTTAAGATTGTCACAGCAGCCCTACAGTCACATGTTCAAAATTCGGGTTCTTGGCAACCAGCCTGTATTTATAATGGTTGCAGTTTCCCATGGTCAGGCAAACACCATTTGCGACCTTCCCACTGGGTTTCTGACAAACAAATTAATGGGGCAAGCCAGATTCACTCAATAACTGCATGATTCAGTTAACAAAGTGATTTCTCAACAACCATAGCAAAATAGGTCATAAAATCAGCTATGACTCAGCTGCCATGCTCAGCAATGGAAATTCTGTTTCATTTGTGATCGCAAGTCGAAGACTACCTGTAACTATGTACTTACTTTGTGTTTGACAACCTTCACTTATTTAAAACCCACTACCACCTTTATACAGTTTGAGTGCTTAGTAAATTGATGTGGTGATCAGTATTTGCTATATTATCATAATACGAAAAAAAAATGTAAAATTGGATTTCATTGATTGAAACAAAATCGTTCAGGGCGGAAACTTCAGTATGTGTCATAAAAGAAAAAAAAAGGAAAATAATTGGTAATATTCATGTGCAACCTATTTTTTAAAGCATTTTTTTTCTATAAGCCATGCTTCCACAATGTGATAATACAAGTCTCAAATTATCAAGAGGGACACTTGAGGACTGCTTCATTAGTCTGAGGGCTGCAACACTTATCATACAACGATAGAAAATTTTGAAATGAATAAAAACTGAAGAAATGAAAATGAAATAAAAAGTATAACAAAATCATATTAAGAAATATCTTTAAAAATATTAAATAGAGTTTTTAATTGAGCACTTTGACTATTTCTCTGACAGCATTTTTCATTAACTGAAACATTTAAATTTGGTTTTATATCTAGATACAAAATTGTCAGCTAGGTAGTCCAGACCAGGAATCAACTCCACAGGAACGCTAATACTATTTTTACTGGGAATGGCTATTATAACAGAATCCAAATATTGCTAGGATTCTTGTGGAAGCAATAAGTAACTTGGAGAATCTTTTTTAGTAACTTGTAAACACTTCCATTTCCTTTTGCTTCGAAATGATGTCACACTGAAATTCCATTAACTTCATCTATACTTCCTTTGCAACACTGCCAATATCCACAGCAAATGGTGATGCTACTAATTTAAATTACAAAGGCTAAACTTCAATAACAAAGCACATTCTAGTTTAATGTGCATAAGACCTTGAGTGTATGTCCATGCAGTAATTCCATGGAATGCAGCACTACTAAATAAGCATCCTATGGTTAATTCCTTGGAAGTAAATCAGGGGTGAAATGCTACCGGTTCGCTCCAGTTCAGGCAAACCGGTAGTGATAAAAACTATCAGTTCAGGCGAACTAGTAGTAAAAAAATGCTTTTAAAAAGTTTTTTTTAAAGTTGGCCATGCCCACCCAGTCACATGACTCACCACCACCGAGCCATGCCCACCAAGCCACGCCCACAGAACCTGTAGCAACAAATTTTACATTTCACCACTGAAGTAAATGTAATTGAGCATAATAGGGGCTCCATCTTGTGTAGACATTCATAGTATATCAGAGTTTATGGTATGACATTTCCTAATTCTATTCCCCTATCAAAAGTAAACTAATGCTCCATTTCCTTTTAAACAACTTTCCTCAATTGGTTGTCTTTCATCTATATTGACTGCCGCTCTGAGAATTCTGATCATGTTGGTTCACTTCTGGAAATTAAAGTCCAAGGCAACTAGAGAGCACCAATAAGAAGGCTACTACTAAGGAAGTATGGCTATTAATCTACTCCATTTTTGTTGCATTGGGCTACAACTCATGTGTTCCTCACCCGTTGCAGAGTATAAAACTGACCCAAATTTAGGATGGAATCTAAATTCCTTTCTGCTTGCAAAATAAATAAGTAAGTCAGTTTTTTCTCTTGCACTAAATGCCTTTCCACACTCTTTGGGTACTGTACACTTCAACTGATCTGCAGAAACTACCCCAGAAAGCTCCTCCTCCAAAATGCACTTTAAAGAGTCTATTTTGGCAAGAACTGTATTATGCGGTTTTCCCAAGTGCTTGGCTCAGATTGCTAACAAGTTGGGGAAAACAATCTGCTTCCTAATAAGTCCAGGATTAGAGTTCCCAGGAAGCAATGGGATCATCTGGCTAAAGGGTGTTCCCTACTTTGCAAGTCACAGCAACAAAGATGACCATTTTCAAACAAGAAAAAGTGATAGGTGTCTTTTTACATTTATATTATAGACTTTCCAATAAATAGCGTTTTCACATAGCTACAAATGCTATCATAACCTCTACTCAGTGCATTTGTGTTTCTAGAAAGGTATATCCATTAAATATATTCAGTTTTGAACATTGTATTACTTGTCAGCTGACCTCAGCATCACCACCTCCGCTTGCTATCAGCAGTCAGCTCATGGGGATCTGGGTTGGTTGGTGCAGTAGTAAATGTGTCCTTAAGAGAGGGCATAATATATAAGCATAATATGTAATAACCTCTTCCTTGAAAGTGGCAGTAATGTGCCATTATTTGATCCAGTTGCCCTGGACAATTATTGACATGTGTCCAGTGGTTCTTTCTGTAAAGGAATTGAATGGACTAGAATTAAAATGGCCTGGGAGGAAATGAAAGTTACCTGTATGTTTTAGTACAGTGTCAGGCCGATGTTCAGCAGAGAAACAGCATTGACTGCACCTATAGGAAAAGTACAACCTTCCTGGTCTTGCTTAATATTTCAGTGGCTTTCAGTGCCATTGGTCATGATATTCTTTCAAGTCTTCTCAAAGTTCTAAAATCAGGAAACACTCTATTATATTAGTTGTCTTTTCTGAAGAAAGGGTTCCAATCATGGGGTGAGATTCAAGTCTTGGAGAATGGTGAAACCACTGGATGAGATCAGATATTGGCATAACCAGGTTTCACCTGTGTGCTAATGTTAATTAACATGCCCATTTGGTGATATCCAGTTGTATATCTTAACTTCTAAGTTCATGATGCTGTCCAGGAGATTGTTCACTCTCCTCAGTAGTTAGTTTGGAATTTGGGGTTCTCCTTGGATTTATAGCTCCAGCTTGGGGAGCAGGTGGCACCTATGGCCAAAACATCTTGTATACCAATCACAAACTTTCCTGCAATGATAAATATTACTCACTGCAACTTGGGCCTTAATCACATCTTTATTGC